CCCCCCCCCTAAACAAGAAGGTCATTAAACCACACCCCCAAAAAATGAACCGTGATGAACAAGAAGTTTGCAATATGGCATTTTCATATTTACTTTTTCAGTGGGAGGGGGTGGTTTGGCCAGTTTTACCCAAACATTTAAAGAGTACTAACATTCTAGCTGGTAATTCTTTACAAAATAAAAGACAATGGGCCAGGCACCCAGGCTCTTGAATGAGAAAAATATACATCTACTGAACATTTCCTGATGATAAAACTTTTATTCACAAGTAAAGAAGTAGGTGCATGCACAACCAGTTATACTTACTGGCACTGGGGCCAGCTGCTCCCTCATAATCCGAATTGTCACTGCCTGAAGTACTTGATTCTGAAAAAGAAAAGAACAGGAATGGTTATTTTTAGAGTCTTGAGAGAGTCTTGAGTGAGTAATAACTTACTTCTCTTCAGTGTTTCCATAGCCTTATCCCTGAATTCATTTGCTTTCTTTTTATCCTCTTCATCTTTTTTCTTGCCTTTCTTGCTCTGCTGCTGTAAGTCATCAACATAAGCCCTGATATCATCTAAAAGTTGATGAATTTCATTATACTGCTCCTCAGTGCCTGACCTGAAAATTTAACAATAAGACCCTCAGCTATTTGCTCGTTATTTAATGGCTGCAAAGTTTGGTAAAAACTAAAAATGAATTTATGAAATACTTTTTTAAGGCTGCAGGGCTCTCATCTTTGTGATGGCGAAGAGGAACATCAAAGTGCTCTTTACATGAGCGGCCTTTGACTGTGATTTCGTCTTTTGCCCATGCTCTTTGAAGATTGTCAGCAATTAGGTTCCAGTCATTGGGATTACTAGGTCTTAGTGCCAGCACTTCTCTAAGAAGATCAAGGTCATGGTTTATGTGCCACCTAAACATAGTCTGGAAATGGAAAACCATTGTGAGATTTTTCTAAGATGAAGAAGACTGGATAGGAGGGTTTCTGAAAATCTACACACTTCTTGGTACTTCCACAATTATGTAGGCTGCTTTCAACCACATTAATTTGGGTAAATAAATGGCCCTACCCCATATCATTGTGTGCTTTTTTCAGACATGTGGGACATAATAAACAGTTCTAGAATTTCCTGGTAATATTAACTAGTGCTAATATTTAAAAACATATCAAAAGTTAAGGGTATTCCAGGTAATTGAAACACCCCCCCAAATGTCTTCTTTTAAGCCATATGTTTAAATGACCATTTCCCCCCTACCTTTTAAAGGTTTTGAATGACCTATACATCAGGTTCAACCACTTGTTGGAGAACTTCGATCAGAACTGGATTGATGCACAGTCATTTGCAGAAGCCATCCACAATGCTGGAAGTCCACTAGACAACTGCTGGGGGTTTATTGATGGCAAACTGAGGCCATGCTGCAGACCAATAAGAAACCAGCGAATTTTGTTTTCTGGGCAGCGGACACATGGTTTGAAATTCCAGGTAAAAAGGACAGCTGGCCAAATATATTATTTTTCTGTGCATTTAATAATTGGATGTTAACCTAATTTGTGTTCATTTGCTTTTAAAAGTGCGTTTTGCAAATGTTGAAGTTAAAAGATGTCTCAAAAAGATATCTTAAATATTGCTTTATTTTTCAGAGTGTTGTTTGTCCAAATGGTTTGATAGTAAACTTATATGGCCCAATTGCTGGACATCACCATGATGCCTTCATGCTTCATGAGAGTAATTTAATACCCAGGCTTGAAGGAAAGTTCAGGGCTCCACATATATTCAGCCTGTACAGAGATCCTGCCTACCCTCTCCGGCAGCATTTACTTGCCCCTTATAGAGGAGCAATGCTAACCCCAGCTCAAGAGTTGTTCAACAAAAGAATGAGTAAAGTTCGGGAATCAGTTGAATGGGCATTTGGGAAGGTTGTGCAATATTTTGCATTTCTCGATTTTTGGAAAAGCCTCAAAGTTCTTTTGCAACCAATTGGGAAATACTATGTTGTGGGTGTTCTTTTGGTTAACTGCCATACTTGCCTATATGGTAGTGTAACTTCAGATTACTTTTCCTTGCCTCCCCCTGACCTACACACATACCTTAATTAATTGATAATTAAACTGAAAAATACAACTTTAACTCAAAAACTTAAGCTACATTTTTCATCACTTTTTGATTTACAGATATCAAACTTTGGTAAGTTTCTTTACTCAGATAAAAGGCCACTTCCATAACTTCTTAACTTCTCTTCTTACAAGGGTGAAACATTCAACCCAACATGAAAAGTCAACATGAAGTCTCATGCAAGCATACAACATTAATTTTGTAGTGCTACTTTTTGGAGCTCATAAAAGCTTTTAATAATTCAAGCTGCATGTTCATTTGTTGCTCCTGCAGGGAAATGCGTCTCTTCTCAACTTCTAATTGCTCTTGCCTAAGTTTAGTTTCAGCCTCAAGTGCATCTCGTTTGTATTCTAGCTCCTGGGATCTCAGTTCTTTTTCTAACTCCTTCTTTTCTGACAGGTATGACATCACATCTGGTCGACTTGGTTGCTTCCTTTTTTTGGGTTTCCTAGTAAAATAATAATTATTAAATTATTAATTATTAAAAGGTAATTGCATAATGTGTGTGAATTATTATTCTCACAGGAAACACCAAGGGTAAAACTAAAGGCATTTTGAAACTACAAAATAAATGACATTTTGCTAACAGCTTGATACTTGTGTTATTCCACAGTGAACCTAACATAGAGGGACTTGACATACAAAGAAACCAGAGATGAG